ATTCGGCAACTGGAACGGCTGATTCGACAACTGGAACTGCTGATTCGGAAACTCAACGGACTGATTCGGAAACTACACCTGGGTCCAGAAACCAGAACGGCAGATTCAGGAACCAGATCGGCTCATGGGCGTCATTAGGTTTTGGACATGGATGCTCTGGTCCCAAATCGCACTAGACCATGGACGTCATTAGGTTTTGGACATGGATGCTCTGGTCTCAAATCGCACTAGACCATGGACATCATCAGGTTTTGGACATGGATACTCTGGTCCCAAATCGTACTAGACCATGGACGTCATTAGGTTTTGGACATGGGTGCTCTGGTCCCAAATCGCACTGGACCATGAGCGTCATTAGGTAGTTGCTCAAACGCAGTCGTTGAACCGCTGGGCCAGTTTCTGAATCGCGGCAATTGCTGAAGCGCAGTTGCTGAAGCGCGGCAGTTGCTGAAGCGCAGTTGCTGAACCGCGGCAGCGCAGTTGCTGAATCACGACAGTTGCTGAAGCGCAGTTACTGAAACGGGCATGGTTTCTGAAGCGCAGTGGCTGAATCAAGGGCCAGTTGCTGAATCATGTACTGATCCAAAACGTCCCCCCTTGTCCCCCTGTTGTTTTGTTCCCGTCCTCCGCTTAGCCGGCTGAGCCCCGCGCAAGCTGTGCAGCCGGGGCGACCGCGACGCTGGCGGCGGCCGGACCTGGGCTCGAACGGGAGGAGAACGCGGAACAACCCCTCCAACGGGCCTTCTGATGATCGAAGCGTGGTATGTAAAATGTAGACCGCTGAAAGGAGATCTAGCAATTTGCGGAAAGCAAGCAGTCTTCATGACGACGTCAATCTCTCGAAGATGCACATAAGCATGGTCAAAATTGCTGGAGATGAACTCTTCGGGCTCGGAGAGCTGTTGCAGTTCAGGGCAGGAAGGGGTTGCGGGGGGTGAAGGGTCAGGGTGTTAAGCTGCTAGCGGGACCCTTCACCTCTCAATGCTCCTGGTGCTGAACAAGGAAGAGGCTCAAGACGCAGCACGCTTTCAAGGATCCCGGCAGTTTCCATAGCATCTGCCGTCAGCGAAGACACGGCTCCGCCAATTTTACTCTCAGGACTTCAGAACTGTCACGGTTGATGTTGCTGACTGAGTGTTGCGGCTAAGGCAGTCGTGGTCTTGGGGCACATGGTGCGGCGAACCTTGTGGTATCTTCGCCGATACATTTGAAAGCTTGCGGCTTGACAAACTTCCTCGACCCCGAAAGCTTGTCTATGTTTGACTATGCCTACCGCATATCAACTACTCACACCCGTATACTACTGAGCAGGCGCGGGCGGCCAAACTTCGGAAGACCACCCACTTCGAAGCCCTGTTGTGCACGTCAGAAACAACGAGCCCTGGCTGTGCTCCAGCAACGCTCTGTCGCTTTTTCCTCTTCTCTGTTAAAAAGGTCGGGCTCAGAGCATTGACAGCGGAGAGCGCTTGCCAGACTGCCTTGCTGGAGCAGCTGCGAAGACTAAAAACAGCTGTCTCTGTCGTTAGCGGCGTTCGGCTTCTGCCTAGGGCCTAGTCATGGCATCTTCTCTAGAGACGTGTAGACTCCGGGAACTTTTAGGGGCCCCCGCGGCTTGTCCTTTCCCGAATCGTCCGTCGGCTCCGACTTTGACGGCCGGGCCTTCACTGCCGCAGCCTGGGACACAAGGAAGCACTCGGCTGCGACGCCGCAGGGCCTCAACTCCTTCTCTGCCGGACTTCGATGGTCCACGTTCCACAGCGCCTACCACGAAGCTGCGCTGGGCCAAGGCACCTTTCTGTTTTCAATGCCCGGGTGGCTCAGCAGCTCCTGCGAGCACCGCCAGTTCGTTCAGGAGCTGCGAAGCTGGAAGATGCGGGGGCCCCTGAACCGCTCCCCAAGTGCAAGCCGCGTCCTCTAGGACTTGGGCCCCTCGGATGCAGTTCGTGAGAGGCAGATGGCCGACCTCAGCGGAAGCACTGAGCTCTAGCTTAGCTTCGCCCGCTGTAACCTCAGAAGAGTCCAGCATAACTTCGCCATGGACTCCGGACTTCCTGCAAACTCCCGAAGAGGACGGCCAGGCCACGAGAGCGAAAGTCCAACTGTGACTCCGAGAGCCGGGCCGGGGCCTCGAGGCTGTAGATGAACTCATCCGGCCTCAGCCCCGCGGCCCCGCGGAGGGAGCGGTCTCTCTCTCTCGGGGTTCTTACTGCTTCTGCCTCCCGCGTCTGGAAGCGGCTGACGGTTGCGACGGGTTCTGTTCAAGGGGGACCTCTGTGACCCTTGAAGGGTGCAGTTCAGCCGCCCTCACATCGCAGGGACCGAATCCCGGCATAGCATGGCATAGCGACTCTTCGGACACATGAGCCCAACAAGACTCATCACCTAATCCCATTTGGTGATTGAACGACGGAGTCTTTAACACCCACATCCTCCAGCTCAGCAGGTCAAGACTCCGCATCCCTGGACTCAAGAAAGGTCATGGGAACCTCAGACTGCTCCGCTGCAGGGACCGGGCCAGTTTCGATTCTTCCAGGTGTCAGTGAACCAGGAGACCTGCAGATGTGCAGGACGTCCAGCGTTTCTGAAAAAACAACACGATCTCAACAATCCCGCACCCAAAATCACTCCTCCTGGAATCGCACGGAGGCTCGGAATGCTTTCGTTTGTTTGGGCCACCTCCTCGGCGAACTTGTCGAACTGTCCTCGGACCCTTTTCCTGAGCCGAGAGCTCCCCAAGCGAATTTTCCGAAGCAAGCGGAGGGACCCCTTAAGAAATCCAATGCTAGGGGAGCCTGTTCGACAATTAGGGAGCCCTGGCGGCAGGATCCTCCGTGAAAGGCAGAAAAATGCCGACTTCCCGGAAGCCCCCATGCTCCGAAGTAAATGCAAACAGCGCATTGTGTACTTTGCTGAACTACACCTCAGGTTTGACGGGAAGCCAGGCCCCAGAATCATAGCTTGACAGAAAAGCAATGGGTACTGTGTGTCTCTGTCAGCTCAGCTTCCAGATCTTTCGCTGCGGGCTGAAGCCGAAACGTCCCTGCCACGGCGCAGACTCTGTTGGGCGAAGACAGGGACGGCTCCCTAAAAGGTCGACCGCAATCCTGCCTCGCTGTAGTGTTGCCAGAGCGTCTCCATCGCATCCATGTCCTGTTCTTCGATCTTGCGAACCTGGTGCTGCTTGTGGCTTGAGCTTTCCGGAAGGGATGTGAGTGCAGCACATGCCGTTCGAGCGCAAACAACACAGGGTCTAGCCTACTGATTAACCAAGCTGTGCAACCCAACAGCACATGGAAACAACGATGGACACTTCAGTTTTATGCTTTATATCTAGCCAGCGTGGTTTTGTACAGCGTTCCTCCACCTACTGCTGACAATGAAATCGACGCCCGCCATGAGGCTTACGGATCGAAAGTGCCAATGATGACCCAAGCATGGCAGATCGGCTGGGGATTCTACAACCCTTGATCGCTGAAGTCCCTTGACTGCTCGTGGACGGCCCCCAAGTCTTGACCACCGCTTCTGCACCTCGGCAAAGTAGACCCAACCTCTCTTCACCGCAGCCTGCACCGGACACTCATGGCGGGATAACATATGCCTTTGTCTGGATTCGCAGGGTGATTGCAACCCGTGGGATGTTGCAGCGCCCAGAGTGCTGCGGAGCTACCAAAAACTGCTCCCCGCATTAGGCTGAATTGCCTGCGATCCGAGCTGCAAGACTTCACAGCCCTAGCCAAGGGCCTCCCCACCCAGTTCGATGAGCAGCCGTCGTGTCTCCGCATCTGCAGCCTGAACGGGTGATAGAGGCTTTCGATCACTTCCGATTGCTTGGCACGGATTCTGGAACGACCTCTCCACCTTGAATCCTGTATATTTGAGATCGACATGTCTTCCCCTTGATATTCAGACTTAAATGGCATTGGCTCGTACCAGTGACACTCTGCGACCTCCCATTGCCAATTTGATTAAGTTCGTGCAGTCCCCAAGCATGCCTGTGAAGGCCTGCCGCTTTCAGCGGCTTCCACAACTCGAAGCTTTCAACCAAGTCGGGGAACACAACTCACGCTGGCTTGGCCTTGAAATCTTTCTCTTTCAGGACCTCCTCAAGCTTGCTGAAATCCGCGCCTCAGCAGTTTCGCTTTCCAGTCCTCCCTTCCGCCCTTCCCCGTTCGGGATCTGGCTGTAGCGGAAGGAGCCATGCTGGGTGCTCAATGCTACGGATCCTGTTCTGCGAGCGATCCGAGAAAGACTTTCGCGGCCTGCTATGAATGCCCTTTGCGAAGAACTGCATGGATGCATGGATCCCTTTCCCCTTTCATCTGGACATCTTTGGAGCTTATAGTCGACATAAGCTGGCCAATCAAAAGCAAAGCCAAGAAGGTATTGGCAAGAGCACGGCCTCAGACTCCGATCCTTTCCAGCTTTACACAGTACAACGATGTTCGCACTGATGTTCGCACTCGGCACAGAAAAGCAGCGACTGGCGCCTGGAAAGCAAACCCTCGAGTGCCACACCGAGTGTTTCGGGCGTGGACAAAATCGACGCCTCGGGGCTCTGTGTCATTTTTCATTACCCAGTTGAAGGAAGAGTGCCAGGATGCTCTTTTTACTCAAGGCTGAAATCTACATCTCCATTTTGGAGCTACGCGACTTCCCCATGAGTTCCGAAACTTGCAGAGACCCGCGTAGCGCTTCTGGATCGCTGCCCTTCGTTTTCACTGTCGGCTCCTGTGAGCTATTGCTCCCCTCTCTCTAAATTGAAGTTCCGAGTAGCTCGCTCCTCGTGTCCAATCCCTGAAGTTCATTGCTCCACCTTTCCCGACTGCTCCAACCTCTTTCTCAAGTGCTCTGGTTTGTTCTGAACCTTAGTAAAATGTTCCAGTTCCTTTCACGCGGTTTGTCGTTGTTCTTCAAATGCACTACTCCCTCTCGAGCGGTTTGTTGCTCGCTCGCTCTCTCTCTCTCTCTCTCTCTTTTTTCAATATTCTAACTCTGGCACATGTTCGTCCCTTTTGAGCGGTGCTCTCCTCTTTCTCAAAAGCCGTAGTCGCTCCAGTCCCGTTTGTGTTTGGCTGTTTTTTGGTCCTAGTCTCGTGTGAGCAGTTTGCTGCTCTTTCTCACAAGCCGTAGCAATTGCCTCAAACTCTCTGCTGCCCTTCGAGCTGTTTGCTGTTCTTTCTCGGATGCTGTAGTCCCTTTCGAAGGGGCTTGCTCAAACGCCCTGACCCTTTCCGGCTATTTGATCCTCTTTTCGAAACTCTCTAGTCCTGTTCGGGTGTTTTGCTGCTTTTTCTTCTTCTTACATGTTCTGGCCTTTGCCAGGCGCTTCGCTCCCACTGTCAAAGGCTCCAATCACCCTGTTCGAGAGGGCTCTGTTGTAAAAAGCAAAAGAACCCCGTAGACGGACTGGAGCTTTCACAGAGGAGCAACTCACAGGAGAAGTTGAGAAACAGGTGCAAACGCCTCGAAAAGGACCACCGCCCGTGATACAGAATGGCAAACCGAATAATTAAAAGGGAATGAAACAAAACTTCCTACATGACCCATAAACCTCCCACCCCCATGAAAAACTCGAAGACCTTATCACTTTGCTCCAAATCGACCATTGTTGGCAAGGCATGTCTGCTCACCCCACGACTCTCCACCAGGATATGCCACCACGATGACTCGACTAAGCTGAAATTGAATCTAGGTTCCAAGGTGAGCATGGTGCTTAGCCTTCTCCGGCAGACTTTGAAGAAAGCGTTTGCTTTTATTTGTGGACTTGGAAGTTGTCACAGTGTGCATCTGCATCGGAACGGACTGTGCTCGAGCATTGCACGGCATGTATTCTAGATTGGCTAAGTAGATGATTGAAGGCACGTCCGTACATGTGCGCAGATAGAAAGATACACTAGCTGGCTAGATGGCTTAGCTAGGCACTCGGGCAGGCAGGCAATGTTAATGTAACACACATGCAAGCAGGTAGGGAGACATGCCTTTAGCTGTGGACTGTGCACATAGACACGAATTGTCCGAACACTCATGTCAGCGAGGGGGAGTAATGGACAACATTTCTGGGGCCTCTGGCAGTCGTAACGGGAACCAGGGTAGTAGGAACAGCAACCACACCGGGAGCGTAACAGGAACTGTCCCAGGAAAGCCAAGCAACCGAAACTATGCTGGAAATCTTGTGTGGGGGAAGGGTTTCGGTCCCCCACTTGGACGCCCTGAAAGCCTTCTGCTGACGCCTATGTTTCGTTCGAGGCATAAAAATTTTGGGGTTGACACAGGTTCACGGTTTGGGATATAGGATGCCAGTAGCAACACATTCCTTGAACACGGAGGCCACAAGTTGTTTCTTCAACTTGTCTTGTCCAAAGAATATGGATGTGTTATCTTACAAGAAGGTTCGTACCACGGCAAGTCAAAGTTGTCGTGCTACGAGGACTACTACTATTGGTGGCGGGGCTAGGCTTTTGCACACCATCGCGGACTGTCTAGTGCCAGCTTGGCTTGTTTTCTGGGTTGAGGGTTTAAACTTTCGGGTTTGAAGTCTCTGCGGCTGTAGAGGTATTTAGGAAGTTTAGGGGTTTAGTGCTTTAGGGGTTTAGGGTTGAGGGGCCAGGTTCAAGGGTTCAGGCATTTGCGAGCCGAGAACGGCTTTAAACGCTCGCGCCAGAAGTAGGACGAAGAGGTGACGGGAGCCTTCGTCGTACGATCGTGCACACAAGTCACGAAATTTGCAGTCTCACTCGCAGCAGACACATGCATTGTTATTCTGGAGCGTTGATGGCAACACCGATGCTGTAGCCATCGGAAATTCAGGACAAGGTTGCTGTGGACATATGAGTAGTGCTACATGACATGACATTTTGAAGCCGTGTAGGTCGGGGACCGGAAAGCGGTCCCCGAGTTGGCGAGCCCACAAGAGCAGGTGGATGGGAAACAAATCAGTCTTGGAGCCCCGCACTGGTTCGGGTTACGAGGGGCGGCCTGGAGGGTGTTGCAGGAACTGGTGGTTGCTGTTACGGGATCGGTTCCCGTTCCTGTACGGGTTCCCATACGGACATCCTGTTCCCGTTACGGCAAACACTCGGGGTGGCATTAGGTCGGCGCTGCAATTCAGAGCGGGCCGGGTAAGCTCCACACGGCTCGCCTCACCCGGCACCTGTCTGCTGCCGAATGCATCAGGTTGCGCATGGGACAAGCGCTTGGTTTCAAGCTCCGGCCAGCAGAGGTCGGCTTTGGGAAGTTATGCAGATGCTGAGGATTATTGAAGATTGGGTAGAGGCCCTTGTCGACGTTGGCATTCGCTTTAGATTGACCTTGCCTGCCGCCTGTCCGGTGCCTCTGCAGTGCTCTGGAAAAAAACCGGCACCCTGAACACGAAGGGCACAGAGACGTCGCATGAAAGTGACAAGAACACACTCCCACTACCAAGGTCGCGGATCTATGATCGAATCCACTACTGAAACTTCCAGCTTATGTTTGGGATCAAGACACGAAGAAATGGCCTGCAGAACATCCCTCGCAAGATTGCTCCCAAAGGCTCTCCACCAACACGTTGCACCTACCCCGAGGTCCAGCCTTCTTAAGCCACCCGCACCGCCAAGCCTTTCGCTCGGAGAAGTGCTGGGTTCGGGCAGTTCGGGCCCTTTCTGGGCGACACTTGTGCCGTATCGGGACAGTGCAATCAAGTTCGAGGCCACGGTGGCTTTGGTCGAGCCCACAGGGCTGCTCAATTGACAACAGAATTTTCTCATCGGCTTCATCTACCAAGTCGACCTCCGCTGCGAAAGTTCCGGCCCGTCAAGGCACTCAGAGTCGATGTAAAGTGCACTCAGAGTCGATAGTCCTATAGCAAACGAGGCCTCAAAAAGAAACCGGAGAAAACACCTGAAAAGCCAAAAGAGCCATGGCCCTGGCGCGGCCCGGGCATCGGCGCCTGGCATCGTCATACTATAGTTGTTATGAGAGTGGTGGCCTGGCCCCCTAAACACACATGACCCGAGCGCCTACCGAGCAGAAAGCTGAACCTGTCTTTTCCTCGTCCAAGAGATCCTTCCCAACAGGCTGCAGTTCATCCCTGCAAGCACTTCGCCTCGCACTGCAGCTGCCGGGTGGATGCCGAGAGCCACGAACGCACTGACAAGATGAGAGGTTTGCAAAGAAGCTGCAGGGCTTTCACCTACGGCGAGAAGACCCCTGACGACTCATCTCCATGGCCAAAGGCACCCTGACTACTCATCTCCAGGCTTGAGGAATCCGCACAAGACGGATCCTGCCACTCAGAGGCTGCAGAGCCCTGTGCACCCCACAGAAACCTTTTCCGAGTCCCACGGCATCCTGAACGTCCGAAAGACGTGTCTGGGGCCTGGAGGCCCAGTAGCAAGCCAGTGCCAGGGCAACGGAACGCCAGAGGCGAACCTTTGGTCTCTTCAGCTGCACAGTTTTCGAGCTGAGATGAAAAGCCTCACAAAAACAGCTGAGTTCAAAGGAGCACAACAGTACTCGCGCCCGTGACTGCAAGAAAACGAAGGGAAAGAGAAACGAAAGAAAAAGAGCGCGAGTGCCGAGTAGGTTGGACCCCAACACATCTGCTGCCCCAAACCCGACCAAACAAAAACCTCAAGCGTGCCCTCATCGTTGGGCCTGCTGGCGATCTGCTCGGGCGGCCATGGCTCGGAAGTGGCAAAAAAAGGCAAAAACCACTTCGGCTGCTCAAGGCCGACGATGGACACACTCCTACCACGGCTTAGTCCAGAAGTACTCACATAGATGCCAGCCACCTAGAGACGGAATCCAAGATACAGACGAGCCCAAGCATGTCGAAGGTCCAGGAGGCGTTGGGAGAATTCAAAAAACAGAGCCTGAACGGCTGCAGTCTCTGTCCGCAGCTAACGCAGGAGCGATTGCCGACTGCAGCTGCAGCAACAACACCTGCTGCCATTAGCTGTCTCGGCGTGCACCGAAGTATGCTGTTTGAACTAGATAGAGCAAGAGAACCATCAACTGCACCGTATAGCTTGCCCATTTCGATACTACGGGATTCAGAAAAACGAGCCTTAGACCCTAAATCGTGAGCTTTACACGCACTGCCCTCCAAAAACAAGTCGACTCAATGACAAAGAAGTACGCCCAAAACGATGTTTAACGAGCAGCAAGTTTGTTTCAGAACAATCGGCAGCAGATCGTTTCTCGGGCTTTAAACGTTTTGGCTTGGGATGAAGAGTTGGGGTCAAACGCTTGGGGATTATGGGTGCAAACTTCAGGTTGAAAGACTGCGGCTTCAGAGTGGACATTGGCAGTTGAGCATCGGGATTAAATTTCGCTTTACACTGCTTGTATTTCTTGGTTTGAATAGCATGTTGATAGTTGGAAACAGTGCTTGGCACTATGCTGCTGGCCTTGGAGCTTTGAGACCAAAGGGAGCTGCCACGAACGAACTCACAGTGTCACAAGCCCAGGTTTTCCCCCTGTGCCCAGAAATCGCTAAAGTTACTCGGGCACGGAGGCTGCAAAGCCGCAGCCCCTCGCTCTGCCTCAGAAAATGCAGAGCTAGCGGAGGCAACGGTTCGGGGCATGGGGACAGGGCATTTAGGCTGCTTGGGATTCGGGTCTTGAGCTTTCGCGGTTCAAGGCGCTCGGGATTTTGGGATTTGGAGTTTGGGGTTCAAGGTCCTGTGTTCATGATCTTCGTCTTCCCAGCCTCCGACTCCAGTCTCTGGACCAGGGCACTCCTGAGCTTTCTATAACACGGGGAACAAAGAAAACTTGGCCAAGTCGGCCAACCGTAATCCCCGAAGCCGAAGCACAAGGTCTCTTGCAGTGTCCGGTCGGCTGGCAGAGAATCGAGAACATGCGCCAAGTCCTCGCTGACTCGAGTGCTTCCAAGGAGTCTGAGCCTCTGGGTGTTTGCCAAAGCTGGAATCTTGCACTTACCTACGAAAAGCTTTGGTTTCAATATGTTTCAATCTCCCCGTGCGCTTGCACAAGACTTCTGCAACGGTGCAAGCTACGTCATCGCGACCACAAAATTGCATCTGTCTTGGCGCTGTTCTTCTGTGTGTGTGGTAGCCCTCACGCAAAAAAGCTCTCAAAGCACCGTCGTCGTCCTCTGGACCGCAAATGCGGCCACGAAGTCGTGCAGTTGGTGGCGGCGGCACCGCCGGCCTCGGTCGCCAGTGGGCTTGCATTTCTCTTCGTTCGCTTGAAAATCAAAGCAGCTCAGCAGCATCGCGGCTGCGGGCGTCTGGCTCCAGACCCTTTCGATGACTCCGCAGCGAAGATGAGATGAGATGCAGGCACCGAGGAGCGGTGACTCCAGAAGCGACGCCAGAAAGGAGGACGAGGACGCTGAAGGTGTCCCCGGGAGGCCGTCGAGGCCCCAATCGACGAAGACCACGTGGCCAAAGTGACGCACACAGCTGCTTGCCTTTTGCAACAGCACCGAACGCAACTCCGCTGAGTCTTTGAACTTCAAGCTCCAGGTCTCGCTGACATAGGGCCGGGCTGTGGCCCGGCAGCAACGGAGGAGCTCCCGCTTCCGACTCTCCGTCATAACTTCGCCCTCCTCCTCCTCCTCGTAGCCCAGCTCCCGCTGCAGGCGCAGGATCTTCCGGACCTCACCCGTCCGCCTCAGCACCTCCGTCGCCAGCTCTCGGCGCGCCCGCCGCTTCAGCCGGCGCTGGCTCTCCGTGGTCTGAGCGCTGGGCGTGGGAATGCAGCGCCCGCAGCGGCTCTCGTCGAAGCGCGCCGCAAGGCCTCGGATCTGCCTCCAGAGCCCGGGTCCCATGCGCAGTGAGGGTAAGAGGTGCGACAACATCCTCCTCACGTGGTCGTCAAAGCTGCCGAAGATATCTTCAGCGCGCAGAGTGAGGACGCGGGGGTCATCTTTCAAGTTTCGGTACACCGCCCACATGTCTGCAATGGTGTTTCCACGGTGGAAGCCGTGCTTCCGGCGCAGATGGAGCTTCGCCTCCAGCCTTCCCACACAAAAGAAATATCAGTATCAAACCTTTGCCAAACTAACGTCTCCACTATCTCCACTAACCTGCCCTTTGCGGCTTCCCCCTGTCATGCAGCCAGAGGGCTTCAGTCCCTCCGCCACCGAAAGGTTCTGAAGCACCTTCGGCCCGGAGCCGGGTGGAGCGTCACCTTCTCGTGGCATCGGCTCTCTTGGCACAAGAGACGGACACCCAAACCCAAAGAGACCGAGCGGGCGACTCTGGTAGGCGTGGTAGGCGTAGCCGGAGGAGAGCATCTCCAGCGGAGACCGCAAGATCTGCACCGCACGGTACTTTGGGCACCTCTGCTCCAAGACCTCCGACGTGGAGCGGCACTTAAGATGCTTTCAAACCAAGGGGGCAGTATCAGATGATGAGTTACAGCATCATGTGTTGTAGTCTTTTATACTGCAGTATGTAATAGCATTATATCTTATTGTATTTATGCTATATTGTGCTATAGTATAATAAAAATTATAGTATAGTATAGCCTATATCGCAAAGCATGGCAGAGCACAGTAGAGTAGAGTATAATGGAGTAGAGTAGAGTAGGAGTAGAGTACAGTATAGTATGGCAGCATAGCATTGCATGGTATGGTATAGTTCAATGTAGTATAGTATACTATACTATACTATACTGTACTATACTATACTATACTATACGACACTGTACGACACTACACGACACTATACTGTACTATACCATACTGTACTGTACTATATTGTGGTCTGTTACATTATACTACTGTGCGGAGCTGCACCCATAGATCCAATCAAAATGTCACAAGGACCGGAAAAATCCACTTGACACGCCGAATGCTAAGCCCTGCTCTCGTTCTTACAAACCACAACCAGAAGTCCTGAAGCACCTTGACGCCAAACCGTCGGAAACTGTAGAAGACTACATAGGCATGTATGTATGTATGTATGTATGTATGTATGTGTGTATGTGTGTATGTATGTAGCCTTGTTTCGTTTATGCTAGCCTCATTTGTTTGCTGATGATGCTGAGATTTACGTCTGATGCTGGCCTTGGCTTTGCTTTGTGCCCTGTTGCTTGGCTTCTGCCGATCATGGGACATGTGGCTTCTGCCGATGACTGAACATGTGCCTTCCCTGCGGATCACACAAAAATGTGCATGCACCTTAAGCTCATCGTCAATTGCATCGCTGCTAATTACATTGATCATGCTGGGGCGCCCATAGATTTCCCACGAAATTCCATGGGATTTCCATGAGATCCTTATAGGATTGTTTAAAAGAATTTCCATGAACTTTCATAGGAATTCCTATAGGGTTTCCACGTAATTCTCATAGAGCTTTCATAAAGTAAATTTTACATACGACTTCCAAACGGATATCCATAGTATTTCCGTATGGATTCCTATAAAATCTCTATAGGATTTCCACGGGAGTATCGAAAGATTCGCATAGGGTTTCCCATAGGAATTAGAACAACAAACTTCGCAAGATTTGCATAGGATATCTATTGGATTCCATAGGATCTGCATGGGATTTCCGTAGGGTTTCTATCGAGTTTCCCATCCGGGGCCCAGGGTCGATAGCCCAGATTTCAAGGCCTATGGGAATTCAATAGCAATCACATGAAAATCAATATGAGTTTCTGCGGAAATCCTATGGGTTTAGGGTTTGGTCATCACTTGTAGGCGCCGCGTGAAGATGATGAAACTTGCACAGAAATCATGGAAATCCTATGGAAACCCGATGGAAGTTTTATGCGAAATCATGTCGGAAGTCATATATAATTCCTATGAAAATCCAATGAGATTCCTGTGGAAGTCCTATGGACATCTATGGAGATCCTCTGCAAGTCCATTGTGAAACTAAGGGTTCATGGGTTTAAGGGTTGAGGGGTTTGCGGTTTTAAGGGTTTAAAGCTTGAGCCTGACTCTGAACCAATAGGTTCCAGGCCTAAGACCTGAAGCCTTAGTCCCCAGGTCTGGGACCGAAGCCTTAAGCCCTAGGCTGTGGGCGCCAGGGCCGTAATAAAACATTATATGGAAATGTTCTGGAAATCCGATGGAAATCCTATGAACATCGTACAGAATTGCTATGGGAAGCCCTGTATGGAAATCTAATGAAAATTCTAGCATAGGATTTCCCACAAGAATTCGATATGGATCCCGATATAAGTTCCACATGACTTTAATGACAATTTTCATAAGGATTGCATAAGGCTTCCATATCGTCTCCATAGTGGATCATAAAACCATAGGAATTCAGTGAAAATCCCCTAGTAATTCAATAGGGCTGCCATAGGATATGCATCAGGACTCCGTATACATCTTCATAAGACTCCTGCAGGATATCGATAGCAATTCCACATGGACATCTACAATACAATTTCCATAAATTTTCGTTTAAGTTCATAAGACTGTAGGATTTCTATAAGAATTTCATTTGGGTTTCTAGAGAAAAATAATTTCCATAGGGTTTCCGCCAGATTTCCATGAAAATTTTAAGAGATTTGCATGTGGATTTCACTGGAATTTCCATAAGAACTCCACATGGGTTTCCATATGAATTCCATAGGGTTAATTCAGGATTTCCATAGGAAACTTATCAGGGGTTCCACCGGAGCTTTTTTAAATTTCCAGAAGATTGTTACATTGATTCTTTATTTTCATATGAATTTCATAGGACTTCGATAAGATCTCCATATGACTTCCATAGGACTTCCGCAATAATTCTATAAGATTTCCATAGAAGTTCCATAGGAATTCCAGAAGATAGTCCATAGGAGTTCCATAGGATTTTTATTTCCATAAGAATTCCAGAGGGTCTCTACAGGAACTGCATATAGATTACCAAGGACTTTTAAGTCTGATTTCCATGGGTTTCCATAGGAGTTCAATAAGTATCCCACAGGAGTTCTATATGATACATGTAAGATGTCCATATTGTAAAATTCCATAGGATTTCCACATGATTTCCATGTGATTTCCATCATTCTAGATTGATCAAACTACCCAAGTAATCAAAGCACCTGCAATGTTTGGTATTGGCTGCACATGCGAAAATACAGGTCTGTTCAAAGGATTCAATAGCCTTCCTCTCCAACAGCCACAGCGCATAACAATCTTCCGGCCAGACTTCTGATTTAGACTGAGAGAGTATGGAGAATGAGAAAATTAAACATTAAAACCATCAAAAAACAGCAAACAACATCGAGAGGTGGGGGCCCCCATGACGTCCCAGACTCCAGAATTTAGGGTTTAGGGTTTGTTTAGGGTTTAGGGCGTGTTTAGGGTTTAGGGTTTGTTTAGGGTCTAGGGTTTGTTTAAGGTTTAGGGTTTGTTTAGGGTTTAGGGGTTTAATGTTTGTTTAGGGTTTAGGGCGTGTTTAGGGTTTAGGGTTTGTTTAGGGTCTAGGATTTGTTTAGGGTTCAAGGTTTAGGGTTTGTTTAGGGTTTAAGTTTTGTTTACGATTTAGGGCTTCTTTAGGGTTTAGGTTTTGTTTAGGGCTTGGAGCTGGCTAAGGGTTTGGGGCTTGTTTAGGGTTTAGGGTTTGCTTGGGGTTTAGGGTTTAGGGCTTTGGCAGAAATATTTAAGGGGGGGGGCTTGGGGTTTTGGGAGTTTAGGGTCTAGCGTTTTGGCTTTATGGGGTTTAGGGGTTGTCGGGTTTCGGGTTGTCGCTTTTGGGGGAGGTGGTTTGGCTGTTGGGGTTTGGGGCGTTGGGTTTTTGAGTATAGGGTGTTGGGTTTTGGGGTTCTGGACTGGGGTTGAGGGTGCAAGGATTTAAGTCTTTGGGCGTAGGGTGTGTGTGGGTTTAGCATTTAGGGTGTTAGATATTTGGGTCTTGGGGTTTAGGGTTGGGGACTATAAGCCCTAAACCCTAAACCCCTACAGGGTCGGGTGTGAGGGATCCGGGCTGGAGTTCAATCCATGAGGTTTGGGGTTTAGGTATTGGGGTTTAGGGGTCGTGGGTTTCGGGGCTTATGGTGTGGGTTTGAGTCATGTAGGGTTTTAGGATGTTTTGGGGATTTTCAGTGTTTTGAGGTTTTAGGGTTTTTTGGGTGTGTGGTTGGCAGGGTTTTGGGGTTGTTTAGGCATTTGGGTGCAGGGCCATTGGGTTCAGGGTTTTGGGGGGTTTGGGCTGGTTAGGGCTTTTCGGTTTTTGGAGGTTGGGGAGGAACCTTGCGCTCACACTTCCAGTCGACGGTTTCGAGTTTTATGGCTGCTGGGCTAAAACCCTAAACCCTAAACCCCTGTATTAGGCTCATTTTAATCCGTAAGGCTTCTATAGACTTAGAAGAGTGGTATTCGGGACGCAGGGTCCCAGCTTAGGTTCTTGAGGGAGGAGAGCTGGGCTTGCTACAGTTTGCATTTCCATAATATGTACTATGATAGCTACGATAATTTCTACGATAATATTTACTAGAATGTCTACAAGAAATATCTACGAAAAATATCTGCGAACAAATATGTACCATACTGGATACTAGAATATATATATATATACACACCTTTATGTGTATATATATATAGATATATTATAATATATACTATACTTCGACTATACTATATACTAAAGCAAATATATATATATATATATTTTTTTTTTTGATGTGGTCTCAAGCGTTGTCTCGCGATCGAAGGCTTCGCTTCGGCGTTTAACACAGGGGTCAGGAAAAAAAAAAACTGGGAATCGTACCCCCCACCCCCCCGGTAGCCAGATAGTCCCTATAATCCGGCAGAATGTCATATACCGCGTTCGAAGTGCCACCCAACACTTTTCCAGAGATTGCTTTCAGGCGAGCCAGCTCCATCATCGCGTGCAGCTGCCATGACAGAGTCCAGCACCCAATCCCGGTCGTCGCTGTCATTGCTTCTTTCTGGCGTCTGTTTTATCCATTTGTATAAGGAGTTCGCTGCAGGGTTCGCAGCAGCAGTGAATCAAAACATCAATTTCAGTGTTGCTATTCCTACGTTTCTGCGCTGTGTTCGTGCCATGCAGACCTTGACGACTTGTTTTAGCTAACTTCAGCTTGCAACCGTATCCCCGTAGTAGTCCCAATATCATTAAACTTTCGGATTTCCAGTGCCCCCCCCAGCACCAAGTTTGTTAATATGGCTGCTAGACCTCACGGTCGAGGTTTCGAGGCGTCATCCCGAAGCTTAGCAAAAGCTCTACAAAGCCTTAAACCCCAACCCCCAAAACGCTAATCCCTTAAAGCCCAACACCGTGACTTCGCGGAGTAAGCTTCTTGGTCTAGGTATGTAGGCATGGAGGCATG